CTTTGTATGTAAAATCTGCGTTAAACTCAGCCCACACATGGCTCACTGATCACACATTAACTTACATTGACTTCTTTCTGAGAACTAGCTGACAGACCCCTGGATGACTGGGGTCAATCATCCTTCTTATGCAACAGACAAGACCTCAAACGAGGCGGGTCATGAGGGCCACCGTCCTGGTTACCTCTTTAACCTAAAAGAACTAATGCGTAATTTAGGTTTCTAGTGAAATGAATGCAGGGTATCGCTGTTAGCTGGAAACACTGAACCTCCTCAGCATCCAGCTTTTACAGAAAATTAGAGCAATCTTGCTTGTTTAGCTTGTTTGTATTTTTCCAGCTGGGTTTTGAAATGTTTTTATGACCCAAGAGCTCCAAAATCAGCAAAACATCAAAATAAGTTTCTCGTGCAAACTATTCAAAGTAATGTCGATAGTTTACTGATTCAAAGACGACACTTTGACCTGTGAGTTTGTGAATTCAGGACGCCATCATGCAAAGAAAACCTTGATATCTGTTGCTATGTGTTTGTGGGAGCTGCTTTTCTGCATTTCTGCTTTTTAAGTTAAGGTGAAAAGGGTTCAGTGCTTAATTCAGCGCTGCACTTTGCCGGCACATTTCCTTCACCCTCCATTTGTCCATTACACACTCACACACACACACAAAAAAAAAAACAAGGCAAAGGAATGCTCTTCACGCACTGTAGTATCCACACAGCGAGGAGAGTGACACAGAGTCAGTGTCCTCATCTGTTTGTACAGCTGCGAGTCCTTTTCTTTTACCTCTGACCGTTGCCCTTTACAGACGCTGTTAACAGTTATCAGTTGGGGCCTCACTCCAAGAGGAATTTATAAGAAATTTATTTTGTATGTTAACCAATAAAATGCTTTTGTTTTCAAAGGCTCGAGACTAAAAGTGATCTGCAGTATGTATCATAGTTATACTCTGTGGCAAAAGAGGTTTGGATTTGCTGTTTCTCAGTATAGATTTTAATTATTTATCCAGTTATTAGAGGTTCAAACCTGACAGGCTGAGACCCTGTTGTTTTTGCGCTGTTCAGCATCGTTTTCCTTCTGAGATGTTTTTGTAAATTCCTATGAAGTCGTACACACATTAAATTTTCACCCCACCATTGGAAGTTGTATGCCAAGGCTGCTTTGGTTATATGCCTGAAATAAGGTCTGTGGTAAACACAAGCGTAAGAGACGTCCACGTGTTGTTCTACAGCATAAAACACCTCAGTAAATATCCTACTAGTAAACTGTGAAGCTTTTATGCATCTTAAAAAAGTGGTTGCTAACAAGTGGCTAAATAAGACTACAGAGCGTCATCACGCCAAACATGGCTTTACAACCTCACCGTGGTGGCAACATTAAGTAGCATGTTCCCAATCGCTTTTTGACAAGGGAACCAGGGTGACGTCAACTTCAGTGTCAGCCTACAAGAAAACAATTTTAGCAAAGCCTATCAGGAAGGGAGAGAAAATGTTGCTAACAGTTTTAGCCTTCTGCTAACAAGAGTCAAAGGCTCACTCAGCTGCGGCTTCATGTTCACATTAAGTAGCTAACATTAGATAGAGCCGAATCATCATGTGTCCCTCAACACTACAGACCACCTCACTGGGAGGAGAGCGGGCAGCAGCTCTGAAGACGCTTTGTTGTACAGCATAAAACACGTCAGTAAATATCCCTCTTGTGCATTTTGAAGCTTTTATGTGTCTTAAAAAAGGCAGATGCTAAGAAGTGTTTCTCATTCATTCTAACTTCCTCAGTGGGGTGCAGAAAAACATCATCCCCGGAGCACTCCATTTGGGAGAGGTCACGCAACTTACATTGTTAGTCAGCTTGCCTTGAAAGTGGACACACAAGTCCAGCTCAAACTGCTCTACAAAAAAAGAGCACAGTGAGCCTTTAAAGTCAGTCTGACTAAATTTTCTGCTGTTCAGAATTTTTTGACATGTCCTCCTTAACTGTAGCTTGTTGATATCCTGCTGCACTGTGAAGACATCGACTAAGAAACTTTAAAGGGGCATGGCTCAGCACAGAAAAATACCTAACTCCACAACTCATCACAAAACATTCAGGATACATCCCCCTGACTACCTGAAACATAGCTGATAGTTTCCTTCAAATTGACCACTAGGGGGTGCTAATGCAAAAACATGGGCTTCATTTAACAGAAACTAGACTTTAAATCAGTAATTGTCCAATCATCACAAAACTCACAGGATATGTTTCATAATGTTAAACCACATGTGTAAAGTTATTTTGAAACTGGGAATGCCACCAGTTACAAACAAGTGCTTTGGCCTGGCATAAAATTTGGCCATAAATCAATGTTAGTTTTTGCAACCATAACTAAACTTGGTGAATAGTTTTAACTAAGCTGTTGAAACATGTCCCTAAAATGTTTTTGCAACAGGCCCAGCAGATTTGGTCACAAATAAATGACTTTCTTAAAACCTGTAAGTTTTGTTTAATGGAGGTGGCAGAAACTGTCAAACTTTCTAGCGTCTTGCGGCTGTATTTTAGTTACTGACATTGCAATTAATAGTTGCAATCCAGCTTATATTCATCATATCCAAATCAACATTTTAACAAATCCTTTCAATGGCCCACAAACCTCTGTAGTCAAACATGTATTTGAATGGCATGTGATTCAAGCTGACATTTTACAGCATGCAGTAGCTTCCTCTGATATAAGCGAACTGATGTGTCAGCACATGTCACCTCTGTTCTTCCAGGACTGGAGTGCTTTGTCCAAAAACAACTTTAAAATGGAGAAAGAATGAACAAAGAAAGGAACACAGCTACTCTCCAGGACCAACTGCAGCAAACATTTTTGTTTATACTCAGTCTTTGTCACCCAAAAACATTTGTAAAGCTCATTTTAATATTCCTAAACCTTCATAATTTAAACTGGCTAGTGGTCTTCCTCTTCACCTTATTTATTTAAGAAATTTTGCCATTTAAAGCACATTACTGCCACCAACTGTCTGTATTATATCTTATTTAAAAGATCAAATTTAAACCATGAGCTCCAGACCGAGTTAATCCAGATCCTGTCTCAAATCGGTTTGTTGATGCCTTGGTTTGAACTCTGAGGTGATTGATTTTAAAACAAATCAGGCAAACTGACGTGAAACCCGAGCTGGTAACTAAAAAGACAACATTATAAAGAAGTTGCTGAGTATGCCTTACTAAGATAATTGGATTAAATAAAGTCAGCAGGGGTGCAGGGTCAGCTAGTTGCATACTGAAACAAATCTTTGGTTACCCTGGATCTTTTATAGCACATGCAAAACAGAGCATTTGGGAAACTATGATGTCATTTCTCCATTTCCTACATGCCCATTGTTGCTTTGTGTAACGAACATGAGCCCAATACGACAACAGTGGCGGACTACCTGTTTGCTAATATTTTGTTAGCACTGCTTGGTCTAATGACTATACTTAAAACTTAGTATTGCTGCACCACCTCACAGAGAAACAGAGGCCTCTAATGTTATTTGGTCAACCTCAGAGTCAATGGTTTAAAGTCAGCATCATCAGAACCAATTGAGGCAGCAGATGTGGGACAATTTTGAGACTGGGATAGTTAAAGGAAGACTTTTACATGCCCTCACTCGCATCTTAGAGTGAGCTCTCTCAGCCTTTAACCGAAGGGAAATCGACAGTAATGAGATCTCCACTGGGCATTTTGAAAAAAGTTAACCCTAGCCTGTACACTTTACTTCCTTTTTGACAAGGTGAGAATGTGGGAGGAAGCTTACGTTGGCGAGTGTTTGGAGTCTTTCTAATGTTTCAGAGATATTTTGGACAACGAAGGTCATGTGGACAGATTTTTTCTTTTTTAAATAGGATGGGGAAAATATCTGTATATGTGTTAACAGGGCCTGAGTCTCCTGTGTAAATGTACTTTTATTAGAGAGCATATCATGATTTCATCTGACCCAGTGTTTATTTGCATTTTTGAAATTTAAATTTCTTGTGTGTTTTGCCTACTTTATTTTTATCACTAATTTTAGTGTTTTAGCAAATTTTTCTCAACTATATTTGTTTTTTTACTGTATTATTATGCGTTTAGGCTGTTAGCCAGTTTAATTGTCTTTGTGTTTTAAATGTGTGGTTTTATTCTAAAGTTCTTAAGATGTGCTACATAAATAATATTTACTATTCTTATTGATTTTGATGCACATTTGCTGTCTAAGTAGTCACAGTTCATTCTCAGGAGTTGCTGCATTTCTTTTTCTAATAGCTTTTTTCTACATTTGTTTTGATATTGGTTTGGGTTTTAACCTGACATTTATCTCATCACATCTGTGAAGTTCACTTAAAATGTGACAAAAGAGACCAAGCAGAATCTCCCTTGGTTTTGGTGGTTATATTTCAACATCAGCATATTTTCTTGGCAGCATATAAAAAAGAAAGGAAACAATGACTACAGCTAAATATCAGTCTCTCTAAGCCATCTCTGTACAGTGTAGGTCCGACTGATGAGATGTACCACCCTTCATTCATTCCCTTCTGTATCAAAAGTTGAAATCCAAAAACAATCTACTAGTCTCTAGTTAACCAATAGAAACTGGAGTAAAAATGTGCAGAACCAAGTCCTCTCAGATCTACACACGTGTCACCGATGTCCGACACATTTTCTAGACTTAATTTCACGGACCTTTTGTCTTAGTGCTTCTGCCTTCCATATAATGACAGTTGTTCAAACAATGACCGTGAGAGACCAAATTTGGGTCAAAATAAACAAGAATGAGCCTCCCTTTACCTGTCCCCAGGTACAGAAAATAACAAGAAGAGCAAGAAAATAAAACTCTGACATTTAACATCTTTATGGGAGGTAAAAGTCTTTTTTGTACAAGTCCCTGGTGCCTCGTCATCAATCAGTGATCCATTGTTTGGGCTTTTTTTTATTTGAATATGAGCTATCGT